TCCTATTGTAGGAGAAAGAACTTAACAATAACACTGAAAACAAAATAATTCAGTTTAAACTACACGGTAAGGAAATTTATCTGTCTATAAGTAAAATCATTATTAATCATTGATTATTTTTATCAAGGTTTTTTTTATAGTGGAAAGTGCACATAGTTTATCCAGCTAGTTTACCGGCACTCTACTCAAATAATTAGAGACAAATAATCCAAATAGAACATAACAGGGTTATTAATAAACCCCAACTGGTAGGAGGCAACCAGTTGGTTATCTACAAGTGTAGTCGAGGTTTTGAACTCGTGACAACCAGAACAAATCCAGCAAGGGGCCAGTGCCGCTGAGCCGGACTTGAACCCGGGACCGCTGGATTGCGAGTAGACGTGATGACCACGCTGTCGTAGCCCATGGTTTATGTGCGCCACTATCGGGGGAATTTCAACATTCCGTCATCTTAAATGGCCGAGGGCGTTTTTATACTAAAAAAACAGATTAGGTAGAAGTACTAGATACTTGCCCGTTGGTATTAAAGATGACTTAGCAAGCAATGCCTTGTGAGCTAATACTGGTTGTATCATTTATTCTTACTATAGGCAGTTATATATACTTGAAAAATAGTGGTGACCCCCAAAGAATGTTTTGCATTTATTTTAGTTTAAGCGGCTTCTGTAATTTTTACAATTTTTTCTAGCAACAGTATGTCGATTAATTTTTCATATTAAAAAGAAATTCATATCTTTAGAGCATTGCCTAATTCTTATAAATAGGATAAATAAACTGTTAATTTTCATGCACTATTCATTATCATTTTACATTAGTACCAGCTGACTGTTTGTCTTTTTTTAATAATTTAAAGGCCGTCATGATTTGTGGGGATATGACGTGTATCTTGTTGGCAAAAACGGGCATCCTGGTCATTCCCAATGTGTCCAAATAAACTCTAAGGTAAATAAAACATTTATTATCAATCTTCTTACAGAGAAAGGTCAAGTGACTCTTGAGTTTAATCGTGGACAGTCTTCTAGGCATGTTTAAATACGAATACCTCTTAGCCTTTTCGGTAACTGTCTGGCTAACCCCGACGTTTCTTCTCTTTCAAGAATAAACGTCGTCGCCCATGAGTTGCCTGCTTTATGTTTGTGTCTTCATTTTTTATGACCTGTTTTCTTTTGAGGTGTATAAAAAATAAGTTTTAAACCAACTGCCAAACTAAAGCATATGATACAATTGGCATTTGCAGGCTTAAAAGCACATGTTGAAAAGTTTTTGACATCAGTCTGATTGTATACTATCAGAACTGTGAACTCAGACGGTCGTAGTTGAACCTTTGAAATTCTAAGACGCTTGCTTCTAGATGAAAATTTTTCGGTGAGCAACAAGACTCTGTTGAAACGCTCATTTTCACATTACTCTTTTGCAGTGTTGACGTGACGTTGATCCTCTCTAAGTTGTGATTTACACATTACCCCTTTCCGTACCTTAGTGTGCCCGCCCATACGGCTAACCGTGGGATAGTATATCTTAGCGTTCGTTCCTTCGCTATGATCTGGATCAGGATTTATACCCAATATCTTTGGATCATTTGCATTAAAGATACCGATGGATCTTTGTTTAGATGGGATTTAGCAGTTCCTTTGATGCTCCATTTGCACCATGATCCGAGCGATCTTGCATCGTAAATCCTGATACAGATCATCCCCAAGGAACGCACCTTTAGAGACGGGAGATGTTAGTCAACTTGGAATGCAATCAGCATCCATCGTCCGTCTATATGGCACCTCGTCGGTTTTTCGTATCGTCCGACGACGGCTGGCAATTGGCTGTTTTTATACTAGGGACGCATTATCCGCCTGGACGAACTTTAGTTCGTCTGGTTATGCGTCTCAAGTATAAAGACCGGCACAAGACGCGTTATGCGTCTGGACGAACTGTCCTTCGAAATACGTCTTGAACGACGCACTACGAAAGGTAGTTTTTCTGGACGCATAATGCGTCTTGTACCCGTCTTTATAGTGGAGACGCATAACCAGACGAACTACAAAATGTCTGCCCAAGTTCGTCCAGACGGATAATGCGTCATTAGTATAAAAACGCCCATAATTATTGTCATTCTGGGGTCACGGACTCTCGAATTTGGAGCCTACTAATAACAAACCCTTTCTACACCGAGTGATCGTTTGCGTGTCGGAGTTCCTGCAAAAAATCATTCTCCTCCTATCCACAAAGTAGTCGGATTCAACAATGAGGGAGGAGAAAGGGAAAGAGTCACAGCTTCCGTTGAGTTTTTCAACAAAATTTGAGAGAGGTGATTCAAACCATTCGAGGCAGCTTAACAGTTACAGGCCAAATGGTGTCATGTAATTGAGTAAAATAAGTAAGTATCCACTGTAAAAGCTTTAAGAATTGGATAAGCCATGAGAATTATGTCAGCCAGACTTTATTCAAGTCTGTCATTTTGTACCAGAGTGCACAGTATCTAATACACTCAGGAATTAACTTTGTT